CAGCCAATAGTTAAGGGCTTTTTAATGATGGAGGAGGAAAAAGATAACTGTAGCTTGGGAAGATGGTATAAAGAGGGAGAAGAACAGTTCGGTATCAGAGGAGTGGGAAGGTCCAGAGACAGGAAACAGAAAGCAGGAAAAGTCACTGTCAAGAGGTGCTGATGGGCCCTCAGTATTTTCCTTCCCTTGGAAAGGAAAGGGAGAAGCAGGGAAGAGAAACCCTAAGAGGAAGGAAAGCATGGAAATAGAGGTATAGTTGAGGGAGCCATTCATAGACAAGATGATCTAGACTCTCTCCTCCTCTTAATCATCACTTTCTACTTATGGAAAACAATGTGTCTGTAGCAGAGCTGCCCATCTGCATACATGCTCTATATGTGAAAAATAAGCCCAGTTTTCCAAGGAGGTGTGTAATGGGCACAGGGTTGCAACAACAGAGAGGGAAGAGACTGCTTGATGTTCCCACAAGTTATAGTGAGAGTCTCTGCAGGAGAAACAACTGAATACTGGCCATGTCACTCCCCACAGAAGAGTTTGCTCTTTTCTGCTTCCCTTCCTCTCAAAAACTGGATTCTAAAAAAACTAACCCAAGCCAGTGAACTACATTACCACACCAAGAATGGATGATTTACCTCAAAGTAAAGGTCAACAGGGCATGGTAATTATTCCACAGAATACTAATTTGGAATTGTCTAGACATGCCCAGTGAAAGGTGCATTGTTATCTTTGGCCACTTATGTATGAAGCATTTCGTATTGATATGTGCAATGCATACACAACAACCCTGTGTGCTCAGAAAGCATTTTAGTTGCTAAACATATATAAATTTGCCTTGCAGTATAATTATCCTATTTATCAGAAAGACATGAGCCTTGCTGTGTGTACCTAAGGTGTTTGGAATGATGAGTGGATTTCTCACAGCGATCCCAGTATGTGGTCTAGCACTATTCATTAAGTAAACAACCAGAGCAAACAGCTGATTCTACAGAATGAATACATGCAAGCATGCATGAATGAATTTCTTAAAAACAAAAAGGGTAGAAATGAATTAAACAACCCAATGCCGTGAATTTACTGCTTGCTCGGCACTGCGTTAGTGTCAAGTGTTTTACAGGAAGAAATTAGACTTGCTAATAGACAGAATATAATTACTTTTTATTGCATCGTAGGCAACTCACTACAATGAGCGTTAAGACTTGCACTGCATGAAAGCACCGCTTGCAGTGGATATTTGCTTAAGAGAGAAAAGGAAAGTGTAAGTATATGAATAATGAATATGGACTGAGTAGAAATAGCTTGCAAAAAGTCCAGCGACACATAGATCAAAATGCTAACCACCCCCAGAGCTGTTTATGTTGGGTTCCTTAAAGCACTCTGTGCACCATGCATGGAGTGAAGCTTCTAGTTAATCACTGAAAGGAAAAATGTGTTTGGATGCTACCAAAATTTTAATGTAGTTGCACTTACAATGTGATGGAATAAATGTAAAATAACTGGATAATGTAGCAACTTCTGGTCCACTGGGTGTTGCTAAACCGCAACTCCCACCATTTTTTCACCATTGACTATGCTGACTGATGTTGATGAGGCACAGGTCCAACAACATCCTGAGAGCCACAACTTCAGCATTTCTTTATGAACCAACAAGTCACTGTCACAAGCAAATGACATGTCCACATTCCCTCATTTTTGCCTTTTCCATCAAATATATGAGCGCTCTTAATTATCCCAGGGTGTGGTAATCTTAATCCACTAAAGCTCAGATTCAGCTGGTCTTCTCTGCCTAAAATAATAGTCCTAAGAGTCAAATCACACACTATGGGAAATGCAGATTTCTTACTGTTGTCATATTTGCCTTCCATTTGCCTGAGAAATAAGACATGCAAATAGGATGGTGGATAGCAATTATAGTATTCTAATATTTTATGCCAGCAAGTTTGGAAAACTCAGCAGTGGCCAGAGGATTGGAAAAGATCAGTCTACATCCCAGTCCCAAAGAAGGGCAGTGCCAAAGAATGCTCCAACTACCGTACAACTGCACTCATTTCACACGCTAGCAAGGTTATGCTCAAAATCCTAAAAGGTAGGCTTCAGCAGTATGTGGACCGAGAACTCCCAGAAGTACAAGCTGGATTCCGAAGGGGCAGAGGAACTAGAGACCAAATTGCCAACATGTGCTGGATTATGGAGAAAGCCAGAGAGTTCCAGAAAAACATCTACCGTACTTCTGCTTCATTGACTATACAAAAGCCTTTGACTGTGTGGACCACAGCAAACTATGGCAAGTTCTTAAAGAAATGGGAGTGCCTCACCGCCTTATCTACCTCCTGAGAAATTTATATGTGGGACAGGAAGAAACAGTTAGAACTGGATATAGAACAAATGATTGGTTCAAAATTGGGAAAGGAGTACGACAAGGCTGTATATTGTCTCCCTGCTTATTTAATTTATATGCAGAATACTTCATGCAAAAGGCTGGATTGGATGAATCCCAAACCAGAATTAAGATTATCATCTCCTGGCAAATCGAAGGGGAAGATATGGAGGCAGTGAAAGATTTTACTTTCTTGGGCTCTGTGATCACTGCAGATGGGGACAGCAGCCACGAAATTAAAAGACACCTGCTTCTTGGGAGGAAAGAGATGACAAACCTTGACAGCATCTAAAAAAGCAGAGACTCGGTCCCATCATCTCCTGGCAAATCGAAGGGGAAGATATGGAGGCAGTGAAAGATTTTACTTTCTTGGGCTCTGTGATCACTGCAGATGGGGACAGCAGCCACGAAATTAAAAGACACCTGCTTCTTGGGAGGAAAGAGATGACAAACCTTGACAGCATCTAAAAAAGCAGAGACATCACCTTGCCGACAAAGGTCGTCATAGTCAAAGCTGTGGTTTTTCCAGTAGCGATGTAGGGAAGTGAGAGCTGGACCATAAAGAAGGCTGACCGCCGAAGAATTGATGCTTTTGAATTGTGGTGCTGGAGGAGACTCTTGAGAGTCCCCTGGACTGCAAGGAGAATAAACCTATCAATTCTAAAGGAAATCAACCCTGAGTGCTCACTGGAAGGACAGATCCTGAAGTTGAGGTTCCAATACTTTGGCCATTTCATGAGAAGAGAAGACTCCCTGGAAAAGTCTCTGATGTTGGGAAAGTGTGAGGACAAGAAGAGAAGGGGATGACAGAGGATGAGATGGTTGGACAGTGTCATTGAAGCTACCAACATGAAATTGACCAAACTCTGGGAGGCAGTGGAAGGCAGGAGAGCCTGGCATGCTCTGGTCCATGGGGTCATGAAGAGTCGGACATGACCTAACGACTAAACAAAAACAAAATATTTTATATACATTTTATTCATACTTTATAGATCTTAATTGCTGTTTGTTTAATTGCTTTTTAACGCTTGATTGGTTATGTCCTATGTGTCTTTTAAATGTTGTAAGCCACTTCGAGTTCTTTACATAGGGAGAAAGGTGGTATATCAATGAAGGAAGGGAGGAATCTTAGTAAGTTGAGGCTTCCAGTTTCAGAACTTACTAGATACTTTCTCTTTTTCCTTGTCTATACGTTCTATTGTACTGTATTTCTTTTTTGAAGAAATTGGGGGCAGGGGAGATGTGATAGGGGAAGCGAACAACACTGTGTTCTTTGTCAGGAAAGAGAAAGGCACACAGATAACAATCCTGATGTTATTCTCTTTCTGACTCCATAAGCAAAATCGTTTTGTCAGCCTTCTGAAAGGGATGATGTTATCCAGCCTGAGGAAGAATAGCATTTATATTGTGTAGCTCTCAATTCCATATGTTCTGACAAGGAGCACTCAGGTTCTTTAAAGCCCTTAACACAATGGAAAATCTGGTTTTGATTCCAATATCATTCTTTCCATGGATCTGTAAATGCTCTCTGGCCCATCAATAATGTATGGAGAGATGGGAGACAGGCTTCATGATGTGCCTATACCTTTGATATCTAGTGTTCATCTCATACTTTTTTTATACTTCATTTTCACAACAACTTCCACTTGTTTCTCCTTAAAAGGGTTGCACCATTGTTAACACTACTTTATCAGCATACTCCAGAATGTAATTTTTTTTTCTGTACCTTATACAGTCCTGGGCAGTCACTCTGATTTGACTCTCTTAAGTGTGCTAGCCTGCCAAGAAGCCATCCTCTGCTCGTGTTTTTCTGGATCTTACCTGATACTTCTGGAATATTTGCTATATACTGGACCACATAGATATCCAACCATAACAGTAACCTTATTATTCTATGTTTTCCACTGGGAATAGTGGAAAGGATGACATCTTGAACATATCCAGAAAAGAAATTACTAGAAAACAAAAATGTTGTGGCTCCTTAAAGGTTATCTACTACATTCCAATGTGAGCTTTCTGGATACATCTAGTTCTTGAGATATATATTCAGTGGATGTATCCACAAAAGCTCACATTGAACTACGTATAAGTCTTTAGTGTGCCGTAACATTTTTGTTTTCTAATCTTTATTTTTTGTTTCTGTCTGGTTATGCTTGCATAGATTATCATGACTGCTTTTTAAACTACAATTTTTACTAAATTTCAGCTTGTCTTTTTCAGTGTTGTTGAACAGATCCTGTTGAAGTTACTAGATGTGAGTTCTGAAAAGAAGACATGGAGCCAATTCCTAGCTACTTTTACATGTATGTTTCACTAAGTTTTACCTCACCTCTGCTCATTAAGTTCTATAAAGCTGAATTTCAAATATTAATCACCAGGCTGCAATCCAACAAATATTTATTTCAAAATAAATCCTCTTAAACACTGTGCTACTTATTTCCAGGCAAAGCAAATTCCATTGAACCAAGGTGGGCTTACTTTCAAATAAATACACACACAGTCATACTCTAATTATAGCAGTGTGATCATTAACACATAGGAGAGTTAACCAACATTATAACTTTTGAAAATTATAAAGCCATTATTACATCACTCTATTTTTTACTATTATTATTCTAATACTTGCTGTGTAATTGTTCATCCAACAAAAAATCTTTGTGGAGCTTCTTCACTTCTCTTGGGGCAATCTTTTCTTGATTAGGTCGAAAAGAAATTACCCATGACTTCCAGATGACCTAGAGGATCAGGTTTTAGAAGGATAAGTTATTGTTGGGCATGATTTCCTTTGTTGGACCAATTGCTCAGAAAACCAAGAATCTATTATATATGCAGAAATTAATTCTATTGCTCAGAAAAAGAAACAGATTGTAATAGGGTTGTTCGTTTCCTTTCTCCAGAAGGTTTATAAATACAGTGCTAGCAATGCACTGGGCAAATTTCTTAGGTGGGTCCCAGGACTGCTGAACACTCTTGTATCGGAATCTCACTTTCCCCCTAACACTAATACTGTGTCTCTAACAGATACAAAAATCCAGCAGGTGGTGTTTCCCTACGTCTATCTTTTCCCCCCCATACTTGGTAACTATTCTTGACAAGAGAAAACAAGCAATCTAAGCCCCTTTACCTCATTTTTTGTGACTGCCAAGTGATGGAAGTCTTTGCTAGGAGGAGGTGCCTGAGTGTGAACTTCACACAGGTTTTCATGCAGCAGGGAGGTCATTTTGATGGTGACTTGCTTGGGATTGCTTGCTTGCAGCCTGGAATTAAAATCAGGGAGAGATGATGGTTTCTATGGTCACGCTTAAAGGAAGCTTGAACTTAGCCCACTCTGGCTGTTCCATAAATACACAGCCACCCAATGTTTGCATTCCTCAGATCTGTTTCTTTAGCAAGGGAGAGTTCAGGTGTGCACTGTTTACATGGTTAATCCATCAAAGGAAGTGAAATAAATAAAACATGAACTGCTCAGTCTTGTGCATGGCTTTGTTTTGGCCATGCTGATTTCAGTGGGCTGTTTCAGGCCCTCTACTTCCTTAAGGCACAAGAATTTTTAGGGTAACCTTCTCCAACTTGAGTTGCTCTGACTGTTTTGGCCTACAACTCCCATCAGTCTCAGCCAGCATAGATAGTAGTCAGGGATGACAGGAGTTATACTATTCAAAAGCCTTTGGAAGGAGCCACCTTGGGGAAGGAAAGAGTTTGAAAAATATTTGTGGTGGTTTTTAAAAAAAATTATCTGTATATTTATAAATTGCAGACTGCACAGAGGAAATCAAACAAGCAAATGCCAGTGATTTTAATGGAATATTAATCACACACAGCCCTCCAGAAAGAAAATACCACTGAAGCCTTAGCTGCAGAAATAAAGACTTCTGTCTCTTCAATGGACAGCACTTAAAAGATAAAGTGGGATCTTCACTTTTCTTGAGGAAACTCTTTCCTGATTTATATCTAGTTAGTTGCCAAGTATGTGTGCAGTAAAGAAAGCGGCATACATGTCTGCAGTTTCAAGCAATAGCAAGTAAGGGGGAAAAATATTCTTTCTCCTACAAATGTCTCAGAGTGAACCTTTGTGTTAAAAGTTCTGTAAAACTGCTTATATTAAGTTTATGTAGACAGGTCTGAGTACCTGTTTCGTGGATGGACACAGGCAGAATGCTGGAACGATGGCAGTTGAGTAGCTACATGGTGATTGGTTAGCGTGGTTGGAATGTTGTGAATGTGTAGTCTGGTGAGAGTTAGTTGAGATATGACTGATTAGGGAGAAAGATCAGAAAAACTAGAACAGAGAACTGAAGGAAGTTAGAAATCTGTTTGAAAGCACTAGTCTGGTAGAGTTTATGAAGAGAAGTCTGTCTTTGGCATAAGAAAGACTGAGTCTCTGACACAATTATTTTGAACTTTAAATACTGAAGAAATTGAGTCTCTGACACAATTATTTTGAATTTTAAATACTGAAGAAATATATTTAGATCTAATTATTTTAACCTTTTTCACTCATATCGAAGAACCCTATTTTCTTTTCATGGCTATTACCTATAGTCCCTAAATAAAAACCCATCTCCCCTCATTATTTGTTTTGTATGGACTAGGTGGGAGGCTAAATCCATTTTTAAAAGAAGAGGTAAATTATCACTCTCCAGGTCTGGAAGGACTTGGAGGCTTGTGACTAGTGGTAATATGTTATGGCTGACCAAAATGTAATCTATGGTGCTGTACCTTGTACCAGCCATGAAGGTGAACTCTCCAAGATAATCTCCTATGGTAGACTCATTCAAAATTTGGATATTGAGATGCCTAGCCATTGCTGCTAGCCGGAAGCCAGCAAAATTTGCCTTGCTGTCTCTGGAGAGTCGTGGGTAATCGGCTCCACAACTCTGTTCAGCTCCGGGCCCCTCGTTTAAGGGGGAATCGTTTGGCCTGATTCTCACATTGAAATCAACCCCCCCCCCAGTATAATCCAATCTGAGGGATGTGGGGGTGCTGCGGGTTAAACCGCAACCGTTTGGCTTGATTCTCACATTGAAATCACACACACACACCAGTATAATCCAATTTGAGGGATGTGGGGGTGCTGTGGGTTAAACCGCAGAAGCCTCTGTGCAGCAAGTTGGAAGATCAGCAGCCGTAAGATCGAATCCACAGCAAGTCGGAAGATCAGCAGCCGTAAGATTGAATCCACACAACGGAGTGAGCACCCGTCGCTTGTCCCAGCTCCTGCCAACCTAGCAGTTTGAAAGCATGCAAATGCGAGTAGATAAATAGGTACTCCCTCGGTGGGAAGGTAATGGCGTTCTATGTCTAGTGGTGCTGGCCACATGACCACAGAAATTTTCCTTGGACAAACGCTGGCTATACAGCTTGGAAATGGGGATGAACACCGCCCCCTAGAGTCGGTGTAAGGAAGTCCTTCTCCAGCGGGGGGGGCCACTGGTGGTGAAGGCAGGAAAAAGACAAGGAGGCTCGTCTGAATTTTCATTAACAATACTTTTATTACAAACAGTTCCCAACTCGCGAGAATCAAAAGGATCTTGTAACAGGTGATCCAGTAACAGGTTATATTTCTTAGAACGAACAATTGGGGGAACGTCCGGATCCCCTAATAGGGAGCCGGCCCAAACTTCTCTCGATCCGTCATTTGTCGTATAGGCGCGCTCCTCGCTGTGCACACCGTGCCGCAGCACGGGTGGCGGGCCCAATCGCCCTCCAAAGGCCTCTTCTGGAACTCCGGCCCAGGACGAATCACCCGCCGCCCGCCTCCAGGGTAGTTCAGGGGGAAAACAGATACCTTCCATTCTAGAGGCTCAATACCTCTAGCTCTAGCCCCCGTAGTTAAAGGATCTGGAAGCAGTCCACCTCCCGTCATTAGATTGGGGAATCCCAGAGTCGCATCAGTCCCTTGGCTCTGGCCGAGAATGGGTTCTGTTTGCACCCCTCTGTGCCTTGGTCGGTCTGGGTTAAGATCCGTCCACGTTCTAAAATCGCGCGCACCTTTTTCCTCTTTTATATCCTCCCACATAATTAAATCCAACTCCTCCCCTCCTTCCTCCACAAAACACACCTCCGCAGCCTTCTCAGTCACTATGTCAGTTTGGTCCAGTTCTATTAATACCCCTTCCACACATCCTCCTTCCTCTACATCTTCTTTCCCACCAGAGGACGGCACACTGCCTTGAACTCCTTCACAGTCGGACATGACTGGACATTTGTCAAGGGGAACTTTTACCTAAGAATAAGGAACTCAGACTACTAATGAATAAAATACACCCACATCACATGAAGCTATACTTTACCACTAGGAACACAGAGTTTTATTTAGACTGAGAAACAATTTCAAAGAGCTCCTGAATCATCTGGGATACCAGCTTAGAGCAAAGAAGGCTCTGGCTGGGACAATATAAAAAAAACTCCAAAATAATTGGAAGGACATTTGGGGTATGGTTGTTCTTGCAATGTAATGCCTTCTCTAATTATGCCTACGGTTTTACGTGTTAAAGGTATGATAAGGTACCTGCAGCAACCTGAGGAGTGGGTCACCCAGCTCATGTGAAAATCAATCTACCCCTCAAATTTCCTGTCTTTTTAACATTTGCAGACAAATCAACAAGGAAAGATGTTCTAATTAGTTAATTTCCATACTGGGAAACCACATTGATTAAAAACATCTGACTATAATACAGCTACTATAGGAAATGTTTGTTTTACTAACATTTTTTCACAGTAGTAGAATGGCTATTAGAATATGCAGAATTGATATATTTTAAAAAGCAACCAGTTATCATACAATTTCAATAAACAAGTCCTGTAAGTATTTTGATTCATATTAAGCATGATCCAGAGAGTAAAATCATTTGCATACCTAAGATGATTCACAGTTATAAAGGGAAGTGACTTGTAAATAAATGTAATGGATCAGCCTTGTTCATACAGTTGCATGCAGCACAGATGGAAGGAAAATTCTTAGCTAGTCATTGTACAAAGACATAATAACCTAGATAATTTAGAAATGTAAGTATTTACAATTTGTTTTCTTTTGAATGTCCTGTATCTCCTATAATTGGCCAGTAATACACTAATCTCAATTGGATCTTCTTTTGAATGTTAACAGTAACTGTGAACTATATCTAATTTGTAATACCATGTAAAATTTGCACTACATTTTGAAAAACTTGCAATGCCTTTACCATTACCAAGGTACGCAAATCAATCCCAGAGCTATCAAGGAGGTTGCTTGCATTGCTAGCACTGTCAGACATTCTACGCTTAACTGAGTCTGTGTAAAGGTGGCCCTTAGCCATCTCTGCACTATGAGCTCATAATGATACCAAATATAAAAAGAAATAGCACAGAAAGAAATATCACCAGCAAAATAGCACTTACGTAAACTGCAGCAGTCAGTTGCTCCTACTTATTAATGTTTGGGAATGAAACAACTTTTAAACTATAGAATCCTTTGGCCTTATTATGCTTCTAATTATTTCATTTCACATAGTCATTTTGAGCCACATATCTCTGTAATACTAATCTCCTAAATCTGTGAGCAATTTTTTTAAAACACCAGCTTGAATTACCAAAAACCCCAGAAAACCTACTGATAGAAACACTGAAGTCCATCTAGTGAAATGT